GAGGGAGCAGCCTCCAGCTCACAGCCCTGAGTAGGCCGCATGAGCTCACTGAGAGGTAACAGCATTATAGCGTCTTGTTGCTGTGGTTTGATGGCAACCTTCCATTTGTGGCAAATGAAATTGGCTTTGCCCTCTACCAGAGAAATACCAGATGCTCTTTTAGAATAAAACTGTTTAAAATGATAAAAAGTGGGTCAATTTAAGGAAAAGCCAATGGTCACAGGTAACACCCCCTGAGTGCTGACCACACGTCAGTCTGGTGGGCGCTACTCGCACTGTGTCCCTTAGCCCTCCTGACGGCCATCCTCCCAAAGTGAGGCACATAGGACCCATGCAGTGAGTCCCTCATTAGGCTGCATTTACTCAATTTAGATGTGCCCTTTTTTTGAGACACCATCCTCTGCTTTCTTTGATGAAAGAAGTCCTTGCTTTTGTGAAATGTAGGTGACAATAAATGTGAAAAGTCTTTATTGGACCAAAGGACAGGGTGGGTTTTCTATTTTTAAACTTTTTAGCAGTTTTTTTATATTCATTTGGGAATCACCAAGTCAGCCCCTCCTAAAGCCCTCTTAGCCAAGGATTAAATACCCCAGATCACCTCCTCTCACCTACATTGCCCACATAACGCCTGTGGGCTGCCTCCTCGTTAGGGCTCCAGAGCCCGACCAGATGGTGTTGAATCCCAGCTCTGTTGTTTATGAGCTGTCTGGCCCTGGGTGAGTTTCTGAAGCTCTCTGTGCCTCAGCTTCCTCTTTGGCATAATGGGTATTATGGTATCTACTTTACAGGGCTATTGTGAGGGTAAATTAGTTAATATATAAACAGCGCACAGAACAGGGTTTGTTCCTCCCTGTGTGTGGGTTAGTGATTATGACCCCTGCTGCCATCACGCTGTTGTTAATAGCATCATCATCATCATCATCATCATCAAAGTGCCTGGACTCAGCATCTTCTGGAGCCCTGAATGTGGGAACACCCCCAAAATATTGGCTCTGGTTTTTCTGTTAGGAATAAGCATCCCATGGCAGCATGGCACAGGGAGGGAGCACCTGGACTCAGAGCCAGTGTGTGACTCCTTCCTCGTGCTGACACTTATTAGGGTTGGGACATGGGGCTCCCTAGTGAAACTCTCTGGGCCTCAGTTTCTTCATATGTACATTTGGAGTTATTATAATAATACTACGAGGTGTGTTATTGCAGTTATTTAAATAGATTAATGTCTGTAGGACTTGAACTGAACCGGGCACATAGGAAGTGCTAGAAACACCTTTTTTTTTTTTTTAATTTTATTTATTTATTTATTTTCCTCCAAAGCCCCAGTAGATAGTTGTATGTCATAGCTGCACATCCTTCTAGTTGCTGTATGTGGGACGCGGCCTCAGCATGGCCAGAGAAGCGGTGTGAGGGTGCGCGCCCAGGATCCGAACCCGGGCTGCCAGCAGCGGAGCGCGCGCACTTAACCATTAAGCCATGGGGCCGGCCCTAGAAACACCTTTTTATACAAAATAAATTAATGAATTATCTGATGTTCTCCCACGTGATCCTTGCCAGCTAGTTGACCAAGAAACTAATGTGAATGGGAACTGAATTAAAGTAGGGGGCTCTTCACACGCAGATAACCAAAAGGTTCCGTCCGTCAGGGTCTAACGTGTTTTCCAACACCATCAAGCAATTAACTCAATTGGAGATCGTGTCAGCTCCCACAGGTTAAGGGCTCAGTTCCGTAAGACTGCCATCACTTCAGACTAAGAAAAACAACTTTTACAGGAACACATTCTAAAATACAGACACACACACAGAGCAATTTGTGTGCAAAAGCAATTCTAAAAGGATACTATACTGCAAACTGTTTTTCTCCAGGAGAAAAATTTAATTATCTGAGACTTTTGACATTTTATTTTGTAATTGTATATGGTATAGGACTCCTTTAATAAATAATAGAAAATATTTTACACTTTTTTTTGTCTATTAGGAAAACAAATATACACTGATCCAGTTTTTTTTTCCAACTTCAGTTAAAAAATCCTACAGATTTAGGGCCGGCCCCGTGGCTTAGCGGTTAAGTGCGTGCATTCCGCTACTGGCGGCCTGGGTTCGGATCCCAGGCGCACACCGACACACCACTTGTCCAGCCATGGGGAGGCCGAGTCCCACATACAGCAACTAGAAGGATGTGCAACTATGACATACAACTGTCTACCGGGGCTTTGGGGAAAAAAAAACGAGGCACATTGGCAATAGATGTTAGCTCAGAGCCGGTCTTCCTTAGCAAAAAGAGGAGGATTAGCATGGATGTTAGCTCAGGGCTGATCTTCCTCACTAAAAAAAAAAAAATAATTAAAAAATAAAAATAAAAATGTTAAAAAAAATCCTACAGATTTAGACAGAACAGCTATTAATTGCAAGAAATGCAGGTACACGTTTCTACAGAATACAGAGCAGAAGGATGGAAATTTCTTGAACATGTATCAGAATCACTTGGAAGCTTGTTAAAACACGATTCTTGGGCCTTATCCACAGAGTGCCTGATTCAGTACGTCTGGATTCAGGATTGAGAATGTGCATTTCTAATGAGTCACCAGGGGACACTGCTGGGTAAGGTCCAGGGATCAAACTCTGAAAATCAGATTCTAGGAAAGATGAGGCTGCCTGGGTTCAGGTCCCAGTCCACCACAGTGGAGATGTGCAGCCTCTGAGAGGCAGAGCCAAGATTTCTCACCCGTATGCCATGAGTGTGTCTGCAGTGAGCAAAGCAGAGGAATGGCTGACTGGGCTGGTGTCCCAGGCCCTCCACTGCTGAGGAGACCTGTGAAGCCTCCACCCACTGAACGACCCAGTCACCTGCTGCTTCTGCCCAAAAGTTATTGCAAAAATACCCACAAGGCTCATCCCTCACCAACTTCAAGGGTTTTCTCCTCTTATCAAGGAGCCCCCTTACTGTGCGGTGTAATGTTATATTCCATACTACCCCTCTCAGGACACTCACCCTGTCTTCTTCCACTTTGTCTGCCACATTCTAACATACTGTATAATTGAGTATTCTTTTCTGTTTCTGGTCTTTCTTCCTTGAACACCAGGTAAGTCCCATGGGTGCAGGGATCTTTGTCTCTCTTATGACCCAGTGTCTCTCATGCACCCACAATAAGTCCTAAAACCTAATATTTGTTCATTGATCATTAGTGAGACCAGAGAATAAACATGACATCTCAGTTTCCTTGTATATTTTTACAATTCTGGCTACTCTAAATGTCCCCTCCTTCTATGCCAGTATTGCTCAAATTTTTCAAGAATGAAGAAGAATCACATTTTGGAGACAAAACTTTCAGTGACCCTTCTAGTCACATGCTCAGCTTAATTCTATCTGTTCACAGACATCACTGCTAAAACTTCTCAGAGGTCTTACCCTTTGTCATCTTCCACTGGTGTTTCGCCAGAGCTATTTCTGCCACCACCTGTGAATCACTACATAGAATTGTTAACAGCTCTTTGTAATTTGCGTTTTACAATGTTTTTCTGAGATAACATCATTGCTTCATGCAAAACAGTCCCTTCATCCCAAGAGAAATGATAATCACTTCCTAGCAATGAAATCATGAATTTAAGATACTCCCACTATCTCCAGGTTGAGAGCACCCTTTGCATACATGCTCCAACTTTGAGCACTGCAGCCATTGCACCATACCAAAATAGCATTTTTCTCATTGTTCTCTTTTTGACACTGATGTTAGAGTCCTAAAAGGAACTGAATGTATGTCAGGATATCAAGTAAGAGATATTAAATGGATTAAAGTGTTGCTCAATGAATTGGACAGAATAATTGATTGCACAGACAGGAGAGAGGTTTTCTTTGGGAACCACAGACAGATCTGTTAAATAAGAATTATTCAGACACATTAAACAGTAAGGCAGACTTTTACTCAGGACCATTACCATAGGTGTAGAGATAATGGGGTTTTGCAGTAGGCAAGAGATATTGGACTCAACTCCAATTTTTTTTAAACAGTTGGGATTTACAGCTAAGGGGGGTGGGGGTGAGTGCATGGAAAATTACTAAGAGAGCAGGGAAATTCTTCCCAAACTGATCTAAAAGATTCTTGCTGAAGGCAGGTCAGCATGATCAGATATCACCTGTGTGATGGTGATGGATGAGGAAATTTGATCAGGCAGGTATCAGTGGTGATCAGATACTGAGGATGGGAAATTCTCACTAAACCAACTTAGCAGGATTCTTGCTCTACAGGACAAGGCCCAAGAACTGGGCCTAGTCAAAAAAGATTAGAGGAGCCTGACTAAAGTTTAGTAAAGGTGAGACTCTTTGTCCAATCTATCTTTGTACTCCTGCTTCAGCGTGGCCCAACATTCTTCCTCTATTTTCCTTCAGATGGCACAGTCTGGGGTATTTTCTCTCTTGTCTCTGACCAAACATAATAGGTTGACAAACTGACTTTAATGCTTCAGAGTGCATTCATTTGAATGAAATAAGATAATGTTTATTAGCTTCCACTAACAGTGGACACATTTTGTGTCTGAATGACTCTATGGAATTATATGTTTATTTGGATTTGTAGCCTTTGGAAGCATCTGAAGTAATATTTGTAGCCTCTGGGAGCATGCTGAGCTTCACTGTCTGAAATAATGTCTCCAAACAGCTAGATTATCAACTGCAGGAGCCTTCTGCACGAATATGATTACGATCCCTTTAAAGAGGTGCAAAGCCTCCCTGGATATGCCATTTCCCAACGCCCCACTTAGTGCCGGGGAAAAGAGGGAAAAAAACCCCTTACTCGAAGTCTGTGGATCTGTGGGGACTACATTACCCAGAATGCTCGGAGTCGAGCGACAGCATCACTATCAAATTAGAGCTTAGAAAAGAGGATCCGCGTACGGCCCAAAAGTCGGGGCGGGACTTCCGGCCTTTTACCTCAAGGCGGCCATGTTAGATGCTGGCGGTTTTGTTCAGCCGGTAAAAGACTCCGAAGCTCTGGGTCGGGGTAGAGGTGACGGGACCGAGAAGGTGCGAGAGGAGGCGCTGTCCCCGCTGCACAGAGCGGTTCTGAGGCTCGGCGACGCCGCCCGGGGGACCCGCGCCAGGGCCGGGACAGGGACCGCTGTCCCCGCGTCCCCTCCTTTCCCGCCGCTCCCGGCCCCGCTCCGCCCCCAGAGTCCGATGGCGGCGGCCGCGCGGAGGGAGCCGGCTCAGGTCAGTGCTCGTGCTCCGCGCCCTCCCGCCCTCAGCCCAGCCCAGCCCTAGATCCTGAGTGCGGCGTCGCTCACGGGCCTGCAGCCCAGGCCCCGGTGTCCGGGACGGGGAGGCGCTCGTGCGGCCTGTTTCTGAGAGCTGGGGTGACGGGTGTGGGGGAGGGACCCAGGCGGAGGGATACCTGCTAAGGGGTCATACTGAGCCCTGAGGCACGAGGTTAAACGGCGGGCTGAGGCCTAGTCTTCAGGGTCAGGGAAGGGTCCATGGAGGCCTGAGCCCATCGAACACCACCGTGGACGCATGCCTCTAGGGTCTACCTTTTCCCACACTGCTCACGGCTGCGGAAACGCTCATGGAACCAACCCAGCCGACAGGAGGGTGTCCCTTTTTCTCACTGGCCCTGACCCTCACCCACATTTCTCTGGATTATTGTATCCCGGGACTCTTAAGTGCCATTCCCGTTTTCCCTCTGAAGTGGAGATCCTGGAGAAACCCCCAGCCCGTGCCAGGAGTCATATGAAAGTGTTTTCATTTCTGGTAACCAGTGTAAACAGGTATGGAAGGTTATCCCAGGAACTGGTAGCACAGTGTGCCCATGCCTGAGTTGAAACTGAGCTGGAAGTGTTCAGGAAACTACAGATCTTTTTTCTTTCAATTGGGTAGAAAGAGCAGGGGGACGGGAGTCAGGACGGAATGAATGCCTGAGAAGCTGGGTGTTTTTTCTGGCGGTAATGAGATGTGTGGGTCACAGGAGGGAAGTGATTTTGCTAAGGTCTTAATAGGCTCCCTCTGGCTGTAGTATGACTATAGACTATGGGGTTGAGGGAAGAGGAAAATCAGGGTGGAGCCTGCTGCCATAATCCACTTGAGGGTTAATGGACCAGAAGTCATGGTTTAGGGGATGTGATTGAATTCTGGATGTGTGTTTTAAAAAGTGACAACTTTATTTTTTAATGTGGACCATGAGGGAGTGAAACAGGATTCAGCTATGTTGCTAGGGTTTTTTTCTTAGTAGCTTTGGGAATGGAAGCTTCGTGAATTGAAATGAGAAAGTTGGTAATAGGAGTGATATTCACAGGAGCTATCAGGACCTTCTGAAATGTTTCTGAGAGCACTAAGTGGAGGCATTGAGTGAGCAGCGAAACACACAGGTCTGGAAATCCGCGGAAGGGTTGAGGATGGAGGCTTCTAAAATGTCAAGGTGAATAAGCTGTGGATCACACTAGGAGGAGCAATTTTCTCGTTATGGTGGTAAAGCTATTAGGGTGCTGGGAAGAGGGGGAGGTTAGGGATTCAGGACTTGTTTGTGTATCTGGGTGATGGCATTGGACTTCACAAACAAGTGAGGGAGGTAAGTGGCCATGAAGGGAGAGTGTGTCAGGGACAGGATAGTCTGGCAGGTGGCCAGGGTTTCCAGAAGAGCAGACGTGAGATGGATGCAGAAGCTTAGGAGTAATTAAGGCAAGATGGCACTCAGGCCTGAGCTGGTGTTTATTCACCACTCGGTGAACTCCGCCAGGATTTTGTGAGGACTTTGGTGGGGCCTGGAGTGTTTTATTCAGCTTGGAGGATAAAGTCATCTGTGACCTGCAGATGTAGTCACCTGTGAGAGTCACTAGGCCTGGGGTGGGCCACTAGTGAGGCTGGGCTTTGAATGATGGTTAGGTGGACAGAGGAAAGTTATGACTGCTGAGGGAACATCAAGTGCAGCACAGGAGTGGAAGAGGGCCGTGGGTATCTGAGCTTCACATGTGATTCTGTGTGGCTAAGTCTGAGGAAGGGAATGGAGCCAGGCAGGGTGGTCTTCTAGAAGGAATTTGGGCTGCCAGTGCTCATGGAACGCATGGTAGGTTTAGGGTAGTATTGGATGCTGTTTGAATTTGCCAAGCATACTCTGGATGCTGTCACCCATGTAGTGTAAGTCCTCAAATTAAGACCCAGTATCATGTGCTTGCCTTGACATCTGATGAAAGGTGGGGGGCCTCACATGGCCTGAGTGCATGGTCGTCTATATGGGTTTCAGTTCCCTGCCAGCCCAAGGAGTTGTGCAGACAAGCCAATCACATCTTCTTACAGGAACCAGGAGGTACTCCATCCTCTTGATCCTATAAAGCTTGCAACCTACTGGTTGGTCACTGTTTCTCAGAGTGCAACCCCCCTGTGGCCCTGTGTAGAGTGTGCCTTTCTCTCTTCTCAGGCTTGTAAATATATGTGATTAATAAACTGCTGTCTGTCTCGTCTGTCCAGGGTCAGGTGTCATGTGTTTGGCCATCCCCATAACCCTAAGGTGGGAATCCCACCCTCAGCAGTGGGGTGAAGAGGAGGTGATTAAAACACAAGTAACGTGGGGAGGCCAGAGATCCCTGTGGTGTGGGACATTGAGGTGGTGGTGACCATAGATTTGTGGCTGTGGGATCCAGTCTCAAGAATTAGGTGTACTTGGAGAGGGAGTATGCCTGATGACCCCAGGGTCTTGGTATTGAGACTTATGTGACCTTGGCCACACCAGCACGATAGCCTGGCATGAGTGGGTAGATCCCTCCATGCCAGGTCCACAACTTAGACATCTACTTGTCCACCTACCTTTTCTTACTGGTGGCTGGACCCTGTGATCAGTGAGCCCATGAGGAGACTATAGCGCAGTAGCACCCATGGCACTAGGACCTGGTTTCTCCTCTGAGTTGGGGAGATTGGGAGGAGGGTAGGCATGGGGTAGATGGATGGGGGAAGGGATTGTGCGTTCTCTGGAGAGGGGCTTTTTATGGTTTCATCTGTCCCCATAATGCCAGGGCAGTGTGACCTTTGAGGACGTGGCTGTGTACTTCTCTTCAGAGGAATGGAGTCTCCTTGATGAGGCTCAGAGACGCCTGTACCAGGATGTGATGCTGAAGAACTTGGCACTTATAACCTCCTTGGGTAAGGCCCTCACACCTACCCTTGTGCCCTGAGGTAGGCTCTGCCCTTCCCTCTTCCTCAGGGCAGCTCTGTCCTTCTCACACAGGACCAAGGGCACTGCTTCCTTCCTCAGTTTCCTCGGTAGGTGCTTGGTTAGTAAGGCTGAGGTGTGTGCACTGCTCTTTCCTTTCTTGAGCAGACCCAACACCAGCTTCCCTGCTGACTTGTAGGGAAGGATGCAGGGTCAGGAGTCCTGCAGTCACCCTAATGGATCCCACCTGCTTGCCTTCTCCCTGACTGTGTTACTCTGTCCAGATGCAAGGCACCTGTGTGTCCCAGGTCTCCTTCCTTCCCCAAGCTGACATTTCCTCATGCCTGCCTGTGCCAGGAATTGCCATCACTGACATAGTCGCTACTTACCTGGACCATGGGCTGCTCTTGCAAGACCCTCTTCCAAAGTTCTCTGTGTAATGTTTAGTTTTCTTTGTTGTGGGCTATCATGTGCTGAGTTGTTCTGGACTAGTGTTGGCTGCTCATCTGTCCTGTCTTTTCCTCTATTTATATCATCAAGGTGCCATGTATTTGCTCATAGAGGGAGTGCGGTTGGGTTGGAGAGCCCACAGTGTTTCCCAGGATGTACATGAATCCATCCATGGCAAGATGGCTCAGAGGGAGCCTGGCCCTGTGGAGTGGCCCTGGAAGAGGACATGTGTTCACCTCAGAGCAGAAACCTATTCTGTTTGACTAGTATTTTGATGCCAGTGGCCACATTTGATTTCTATCTTTCCTTCCCCTTTCTTGATGCTTTGCCAATTTGTTAACTCTATTACTTGTCATTTCTAGTCTTACTTGCAGCCTGGAGTTAACCTCACATTTCTGGGCTCCATGTCTCACCTGTTTTTCTCACCACTCCATCTGCAGTGCTTTCCACATTGGCCCCTATGTATTGTGTCATGAGGTGTGCACATGTCCTTACACAGTTCTTGAGCACCAGCTGCCCTGTTATAGTTGTATTTTCCTGGGTTTTGACACACCCTTCTGTACAGCGTTCATGTGTCACCAACAGACAAGCTTCTTTGGAAAGTTGTTTGCAGAGGAGTGAATTGTAGACCCTGTCTTTCGTCTCTGTGTCATGCCTCATGGTTGTGTTCTTCACTTCATGAATCTTCTCTCATTCTGTCCTCTTTATAGCCCAGTACTGCTAAGTAGCCCCATCTTCAAGCTGAACCAACTCCTTTATCCTGCAAACAATCCCATGGACTGGTTTCTGGGTTATTTAGACACACACTTGTGCAGTAGCTGCCCGTTCCCACCAAAGTCAACATGCGCTTCACCAGGCTTTCTTGCTTTCAGGTTGTTGGCATGTAGCAGAGAATGAGGAGGCACCTGCCAAGCAGAGCATTTCTGTACAAAGTGTGTCACAGGTCAGGACTCCCAAGGCAAGTGTGTCTCCCTGGAAGGCCCATCCTTGCGAGATATGTGGCCCAGACTTGAGAGACATCTTCCACTTGACTGAGCACCAGGGAACACATTGTGGGCAGAAGATTTACAGAATTCGGGCATGTGAGAAACAATTGTGTTTGCATGCAAAACTGCAGCACCAAAAGCAGTACACTGGAGAGACACGCTTAAGAAGCAACAAGGGCAGAGCCTCACTTGTGAAGGACTGCAAATCCTGTGTGTCAGGGAAGCCCTTATCCTGTGAGGAGGTTGTGAGGGACGTCGTGGCCGGTTCGAGATTTCTCCAGCATCAGGCCACGCACACCAGGGAGGAGTCAAACAGGAGAAGTGAATGTGGAGCAGCCTTTCATGGGGGAAACACTCAATACAACTCTGGAAAATGCACGAAAGACTTCGATTGCAAACGTACACTTTTTCAGTCCCAGAGAGTCCTCACTAGAGAAAGAAGCTACATGTGCAGTGAATGTGGGAAATCTTTTAGCAAGAGCTACAGTCTCAGTGACCATTGGAGAGTTCATACTGGGGAAAAGCCTTATGAGTGTGGGGAGTGTGGGAAATCTTTTAGGCAAAGCTCTAGCCTCATTCAGCACCGGAGAGTTCACACTGGAGCTAGGCCTCATGAGTGTGATGAATGTGGGAAATTATTTAGCAACAAGTCCAACCTCATTAAACATCGGAGAATTCACACTGGAGAAAGGCCATACGAGTGTAGTGAATGTGGGAAATCCTTTAGCGAAAGCTCTGCACTCCTTCAGCACCGGAGTGTTCACACTGGAGAAAGGCCTTATGAGTGTAGTGAATGTGGGAAATTCTTTACCTACCACTCTAGTCTCATTAAACACCAGAGAGTTCACTCTGGATCAAGGCCCTATGAGTGCAGTGAATGTGGAAAATCCTTTACTCAAAACTCCAGCCTCATTGAACACCGTAGAGTTCATAGTGGAGAAAGGCCTTATAAATGTAGCGAATGTGGGAAGTCGTTTAGCCAAAGCTCTGCGCTTCTTCAGCATCGGAGAGTTCACACTGGAGAAAGGCCTTATGAGTGCAGTGAATGTGGGAAATTCTTTACTTACAGCTCCAGTCTCTTAAAACACCAGAGAGTTCACACTGGATCAAGGCCTTATGCGTGCAATGAATGTGGGAAATCCTTTACTCAAAACTCCAGCCTTGTTAAACACAGGAGAGTTCACACTGGAGAAAGGCCTTATGAGTGCAGCGAATGTGGGAAATCTTTTAGTGACAGCTCTGGCCTTATTAAACATCGAAGAGTTCACACTGGAGAAAGGCTTAATCAGTGCAGTGAATTTGGGAAATCATTTAGCTGTAGCTCCAACTTCAGTGACCAGTAGTGTTCACACTGGAGAAGGGCTTTATGAGTATTTGAATGTGGGGAGTTATTTACCTACAATTCCAGGCTCCTAAAACATGTCACATTGGGTGATGGCCTTATGAGTGTGGCGAATGTGAGAAATCATTTAACCAAAATCTAACCTCATTACACTCCGGAGACTTCAAAGTAGGGTAAGGCCTTATAAGTGTTGTGAAAAAACCTTCAGCCAAAGGACTTACCTCATTGGGTACCACAAATTTCAAACGAGAGAGATACTGTAAATGTGCAGGTATATACTATTTCTTTGTTCAGTGCAACAACACTGGAGGAGAGCCGTTATGAAGGTGCCGTTTGCGTGTATTGAACCTCATACAGCCAGACATCCACATAAATTCCAGGTATGTGGGAGCTGCATTGTACTTTTTAACCTGCCCAGGGCCATCGCCAGATTTATGTCACTGCCAGTTCTGTAGCAGAGGCCATTTCACCTTTACCACCTGGCAGGTGCCCACAGTGGGCAACATTTATCTATCTCAGTGTGTTCAGGGAAGTAAACCCCAGCGTTCTCCCATTTGTGGGACGATTCATGAGTAGCCTGGGCACTTTTTCCCCATTTTTTCCTCCTCTGATGAGTTAGGGCATAGACCTTACCCCATTTTGGCCTAGAGGACTCTTGGTGATTTGGAAAGATGGACTGCGTTTTTCAGGATATTATTGGTCTCATGAGACTCTAGCGATGGAATTTTCCAGCCTCTAAATCACCAACCCGGGAACAGTCTGCCTCCCATTGCTCTTGTTTGTATGATAATAAAGATCTTATTGTTTCAGCTACCATTAATCTTGGGGGTTCTGTTCACTGTATGGGGTGGTTTGAAGTTAACTGGGTTTGCTAAAATGAAGGGTGAACATCTTTGGTTGAGATCCCAAACTTTGTATGCCTCCGAGAGGACAGTATGATGGCAGAATAAATCTCTCCCATTTTGGCCTCATTTGCGTTGTTGCTCAGAACCTTCAAGGAAAAACTGTAGGGCTCTGTGGTCCTAATTTGTAACTTGAATGCCATGATATTTTGTAGGTTCAGAGTTCAACCCAAGGAGGGGACAGTTGGTTGTTGTGACAACCTTCAGTGCTTCTGAGAACAACATGAACTTGTTCTCTTGTTCACAGGGGACATTGCATCGTGCTCAGCACTGCTGAGGGACATCTCTTCCCCAGGTCCTGCAGCAGAGCCATGTGCCCTGATGTCCTGAATTCTATAGGGTAACATCACTGGTGTTAGGATTATAGGGACCAGGGGAATGAGAATTGTTACAGAAACACTGGATTAATAAAGGGTGCAGGAGACTGCAACAGATAACCTCATTTAAAAGGTTATCTATATAGTGTTTGGTCACTATGGCTGTGAAGGGGATGAGCAGGTAGAGAAATTCTCAGGATGTCCAGAACTGTGTGTCTTGTCACTGAGGGCCTTGTCAGAGAAAATAATCTAAAGGTTTTATGGATTCCTGTGGCCTCTCTGGGCTGTTCATTTAAGGCCATTGCCTCAGAGGCAGGCGAACAAGAAAAGAGAAAGGGAGATCTTTTAGTCCAGCGTGTGGTTGTGTGACCCAGCTGGTATTCCTGTTGAATGAGGTGGAAACAGCCTTCATGGCTCACCTATTTTTGCTGCCAGTGGGGCAAGTGCCCCTCTCGTGGAGAGAGAGAGACAGTGGAGTCAGTATGGTTACCAAACCTGATTTTCTAAAGAGCAGGAAATCCAGACTTTTAGTTTGAACCATATTGTTAAAGTTTTAATAGGTATAAATGATATGCAGTAAGCTGTCCATATTTAAACTATACAATTTGATAAATTTGACATTCATATAAACTCATGAAACCATCAAACAATCATGATAAAAATAAAAACTTTTCCATCACTCCTATGTTTACCTTGTGTCCTTTAATGTCTTTGTTTTCCAGGCAGCCACTGATTTGCTTTCCATTACAATAGGTTAGTTTGCATTTTCTAGAATTTTATGTGATTGAAATCATAAAGTGTTTAGTTTTTTTTTTTCCTTGGGTACCCTCATGTGATGTTTATTTTGAAATTTGTCAATAGTGCTTATATGAGTAGTTCATTCTTTTTATGTAGTTGAGAAGGATAGGATGTTCTGTCAATATACCATGATTTATTTATTTATGGGTAGTTTTAATTATTTCCAATTTGGACTATTGCAAATGAAACTGCAGAAGTTGGATGCATTCTTCATATTGGTATGATTCTTTTCTTTTGTTTTAGTACTTTGAAGTGCAATACCTGAGTCAGAATGTAGGTGAATATATAACTTAAGAAACACCAAGTTATCGTCTAAAGTGGTTGTTCCCTTTTGTATTCCTACCAGCAGTGTGTGAGATTTCCAGTTCTTCCATATTCTTGCTAAGTGGCTGTAGTTAGTTTTTTAAAACTTTGATCCTTTTAGTGAATGTGTAGCAGTATCTCACTGTTGCTTTAGAGGCGTTTCACTGATGTGTCATGATGTTGAGCATAGCTAGTGTACAAGAAATATGACAGAAGGGTGAGCATGTTAAACAGTATGAAGAATCAACAAGCCAAATCTGGATTGTGGCAAAATCTAATGGACAAATGGTTTAGCAACGTCAAGTGAAGAAAAATTAAGAAATAAGAAGTGGTACATATACGTTAAAAGACATGCAAGACATGCCTAATAATTGCCTGAGGATAAATTTTGCATCCAGATTGCAATGAATCTGCATTAAATAACGACTACAACTGACAAAATTCAGCACTTACAACAATTCATCATATTTTAAATATTTTGCTTTTATCTGAGAAAGTTATTGGAGTTAGATAAGAGCCTTTACATTTAGAAACATTCTGAAGGGGTTATGTGTGAAACGACCTGATGTCTGGGATTATAAATAAAATCAACCACTAAGTGCCTGGGGATAGATGAAACAAGAACAACCATAAACTGATAAATACTGACAAACAACTTCCTAACGGTCTTTTCTCTTTTCGATACATTTGAAAATAGCCATTACAAAGGGTAGAGTATGTCCTGTTATGAGTCATTTCATATGGGTAAGAAGGATAAATTTAAAAGGGCAGGAGGAAACTTTTAGTTTCAATACTCCAATGTAAATATCAAAATGTATATTTGAAGTATGAGCAGTTTAAAACAATTATGTGTGAATTAAGCAGTTTAGAAAACAAATAGTCAAAACTTACCACTTCCTAATCTTTATCTTTTTTCTTTTTGTGGGGAAGATCAGCCCTGAGCTAACATCTGATGTGGATCCTCCTCTTTTTTTGCTGAGGAAGATTGGCCCTGAGCTAACATCTGTGCCCATCTTCCTCTACTTTATATGGGACGCTGTCACAGCATGGCATGACAAGTGGTGCATCAGTACGTGCGTGGGATCCGAACCTGTGAACCCTGGGCCGCCGAAGCAGAGAGTGCGCACATAACCCCTTGCGCCACCGGGCTGGCCCCTTTTTTAGTCTTGATTTTAATAGATATTACTATTGTGTGTGGCCATATTATTTTGTTTTATTTAATATGATATACAAAATCCTACAAATGTTCAGAGGGCCCTTGGTAGCTGTAAAATAGAAACAAACAATTAACATTAACCATAGAAAGTTGGAATAGGAAAAAGCCTTAAATGTCATGAGACCCAGGAAGTTAACTAGGGCCCAGAAAGGGGAAATGACTTCCATAGCTAGTTAGTAAGTCTTCCTAACCCTCAGTCCAATGTTTTGTTTTGTTTCGTATTTACATTTTTTGTGTTTCCATTTAAAGACTATTTTTTAGTACAGTTTTAGGAACATAGCAAAATTAAGAGGAAGGTAGAGATTTCCCATGTACCCCCTGTACCCACACATGCATTGCCTTCTCCATTATGCCGTCCCCCAGCAGAGTAATAACATTTGTTACAATTGATGAACCTACATTGACACATTGTTGTCACCCAGAGTCCATAGTTCATATTGGGGTTCACTCTTGGTGGTGTACCTTCTGAGTTGGAACAAATTTATAATGATATGTATCCACCATTGTAGTATCTCATAGAGGAGTTGCACTGCTTTAAAATCCTTCTGTATTCTGCCTAGTCATCCCTCCCTTGTCCCTGCATTATCCTGAACCACCCATCTTTTTACTGTCTCCATAGTTTTGATTTTTCCAGAATGCCATATGGTTGGAATCATATAGTATATAGCCTTTTCAGATTGGTTGTTTTCACTTAGTGATATATACTTAAGTTTCCTCCATGTCTTTTCCCTCCTTGATAGCATTTTCTTTTTAGAACTGAATAATATTCCATTGTCTGGATGTGCCACTGTTTATCCATTCACCTACTGAAGGAGACATCTTGGTTGCTTTCAAGTTTTGCCAGTTATGAATAGAGCTGCTTTTTAAACAATCGTGTAGGGTTTTGTGTGGACATGTTCTCAACTCCTTTGGGTAAATACCAAGGAGCACAATTGCTGGATTGTATATGGTAAGAGTATGTCTAGTTTTGTAAGCAACTGCCAAAGTATCTTCCTAAGTGGCTGTACTGTTCTACCCATCAATGAATGAGAGTTCCTGTAGTTCCAGCTCCTCACTAGCATTAGATGTTGTCAGTGTTCCAGATCTTGGACATTCTAATAGGTGTGTAGTGGGATCTCATTGGTGAGAACTTTTGCATCTATATTCATGAGAGAGATTGGTCTGAAGTGTCCTTTACTTTGTTTGGTTTGAGTATTAGGGCAATGCTAGTGTTTTAGAACCAGTTAGGAAATTATATCCTCTGCTTCTACCCTCTGAAAGAGATTGTAAAGAACTGGTATAATTTCTCTCTTAAATGTTGAGTAGAATACACCAGTGAACCCGTTGGAGTCTAGTGCATTCTGTTTTGGAAAGTCGTTAATTATTGATTTAATTTCTTTTCCTTTCTCTCTTTCTTCAGTTTTTCCTGTTTACTCATCATTTACAGCTTTTGTAGTCATCCTGCCATTCTTGGGTATCTTTTTTGTTTTTCAGCTTTTCTGTTCTTTTTTTTGTTCTCAGTTTTGGAGGTTTCTATTCAGATATCCTGAAGTC